TTAACTGTTAACAAGCACAACTGTTGAAATTAACATGAACTAAGATTAATAAATGCTGTTATTTTATTGGCTTGTGTTTTTTTTAATTCAGTATCATTAAAATTGAGTTAAATTTAAATAGTCTTACAAAATTACTTTATATTATCTAATAAAATAATAAATAATCATTACAAAGCATTTTCGGATTCGGTTTTCGGCCAAGTGCATCCAGAATTTTCGGTTTCCGTTTCGGCCCAGAATTTTCATTTCCGTGCACCCCTAGATGTAAGACTACGTGTTTTATTTAATTTAATATAAATTTAACAGTAATTTACTTTCAAATGCCCCAATTGCTGAAGGGTCTGCACAACTTTTTAGTACAATTTCAAGTTGCACTGTTCGAAATACCTGTAGTAGCACAGCAGTGCATACCTGTTTACATTTAATTAAGGTGGACTAGATTAGACTGTAATACAAATACAGGAGTTTGCCAGGTGCATACAACATTTATGACAGGTTTTCATGAAAGTGTTGGTCAGTTTGTCTGCTTGACAATCCCATTTTGCACTGCAACAATAAAACTGAAGTGAGATAAACAAACTGAGAAATGTTTCTTTTTAGTTAAAACAGATGTTGTCAAAGTTTTCATTTGGGGACATAATTTGAAGTTGGAAAAAGGTAATAAATTGCAATATATATCGCAGAATATCGCAATATATTTAAAACCGCAATAATATCGTATCGTGACACAGTATCGTGATAATATCGTATCGTGAGGCCTCTGGTGATTCCCACCCCTAGTAATTATGCAAGAGCAATGCATACACACACTTTAAACCTACATACAGTACAAGAGCTTCATTTACAGTACGGAGTGTCCTATAATGATGAATTAGAATAAAACAGCAGCAATATAATAAAACAGCCATATAATACAACCCCAAATCAGAAAAAGTTGGGATGTTTTGTAAAATTCCATAAAATCAAGAATATGTTATTTGTTCATTCTCTTTAACCTTTACTTAATTGACAAAAGTACAAAGAAAAGATTTCCACTGTTTTCACTGACAAAATTGTATTTTGTAAATATAAACAAATTTTGATTTTGATGGCTGCAACACACTCCAAAAAAAGTTGGGAGAGAGGCATGTTTAACACTGTATCACATCAACTTTCCTTTTAATTAAAATGTTTAATTGCTTGGGAATTGAGTATACTAATTGTTAAAGTTTTGCAATCAAACTTTTTGCCCAATCTCGCTTGATACAAGACTTCAGCTGCTCAACAGTATGATGCAGTGGCAGACTGTGTTAGATGACAGTGGTTTTCCAAAGTACTCCTGAGCCCATGTGGCAATATATAACACCACATGACAGTTTCTCATGCAATGCCATTTGAGGGCTCAAAGGTCATGCACATTCAAATGAGGTTTCCTGTCTTGCCCTACATGTACTGAGATTTCTCTGAATTCCCTGAATCTTTTCACAATATTATGTGAGGTAGTTGGTGAAATACCTAAATTCTTTGCAATTTTGCATTGAGAAATGTGATTTTTTATTTATTTGACACTTCTCTCATGAAATTTTTAAGAGTTTTTTTTCCCCTTGTCCATTCAATTAAAGTTAATGTGGTCCTATGTTGTCTGTACACCAATGTTCTTCTGAGTATCTTATTTTATGTTCTAAAGAAGAAAGAAATTTTTTTCATTTCATTCATCTATCACATATCCATTTGATTTCGAGTCATCTGATTCAACTTTTCTTGCCGTTCTTGATTCTTGCTTAATGCTGGAGAATCTTTCACAATGACCAAAATGTATGAAATTATTAGCATAAACCTTAGCACACTGTACTGTTACTGTTGCATAAAGATTTGAAGTCATTACCATGCAATACATAGCTTCCAAGATAAAAATATAGTAGAGATTACTACATTTTTAAGAAGAATACATAGAAAGCAACCTGTGACAAAAGAAGCGTGAAATAAATAAATGTACTACTTAGCAACAAACCAGTAATCTCAGAATGATAAACTTCATTTTGATCATGACCAATCTGCACAACAATCTTAGAGTCAATAAGTGCATTTACAAGCAATTTTTCATTGTTAGTGGTGTACAATTAAATACCATTCAGAAACCAGCTTTGTCCTCTTCTTTCAGTTACTTATCCATTCTTTTCCTGGAGTTCAACACACAGTCATCTTCATCAAAAATAGCGAGACTAAATTATATTATCAGTGCTCATGCTGCTGTCCCTTGCGGTCTTTGCACTTGAAATTAGCTGATGATAAATAAAATGCTGCGCTTAATTTAACTCTGTTAAATTTCCAAATAGCACAGGAATTGAAGAATGGATTTATATTTGTTTTTTGGAAACACATTTTAAGTGTAAATGGAACAGTTTTAACAAATCGGATATCTGATCAGTAAAAACGAGTTGGCACTAGACATGTGCTGGTATTCGGTAATGCGATATATCACGGTAATGATTATGCACGATATTGTTATCGTGGGCACTTCTAAACACCGTGAATAATTATATATTACAAATTATTCAGAATTTTGAATGCATTTCTACATTTCAATACCGTGATAATACAGTATACCGTTATAAAAGCATGAGCAATTAATCGCAACATGAAAATTTGATACCGGCATATCCCTAGCTTGCACTAGATCGGTAATGTTTGGCCACTTTGTCAACTTCACTGAGAATGGGAATAAGTTTGGATGCTCAGACATGCGCCAAGTCACTGCTGCACTGATTTATGTGCTATACAACACTACAAATACAACATAGCTAAATCTAAATTCCAGAGGATCACTTGGATCATCATTTTACATTGTAATGAACAAAAAAACAAGAATTTGTCAAATAGCAATAGCTGTCCAAGTCATACATTTTAATGAAACTAAAAATTAAAAGTTATTATTTCCTTATTCAATGTATCTTTTTTCTTTGTGATTTATTTAAATCAAATGAATTAATTCAATAAATCAATCAATCAGAATACTATATAATGTTACAAATAAAATTTGATCAACATCAACAAAAGCCATGTTTACATTGCCAAAGGTGGTACATACAGTGCCCTCCACTAATATTGGCACCCGTGGTAAATATGAGCAAAGGCGGCTGTGAAAATAAATCTGCATCGTTTATCTTTTTGATCTTTCATTCAAAAAATTCACAAAATTCTAACCTTTCACTGAAGAAAAACAATGGAAAGTGGGGGGAAAATCTAATTATGAAATACATGTTTTTCTCTAGTTCAAGGTGGCCACAATTATTGGCACCCAATTATTGCAACGTCCTTTTCCCAAGATGTACAACAACATGTGGTGATGTAGGTGCTGTTTGATTTTTTTTAATTTTTTAATTTTTTTTTAGGATTTCTGACCCCAAGACTCAACTAAAATATGCAATTCTCCAGCTGTGATCCTTGGAGAGACTTTGGCCAATCAAACTCTCCTCCTTACCGTGTATTAGGACGATATACATGTCCTCTTCCAGGCAGATTTGTAACATCTTTAGTTGATTGGAACCTCTTAATTATTGCCCTGATGGTGGAAATGGGGATTTTCAATGCGTTAGCTCTTTTCTTACAGCCACTTTCTATTTTGTGAATCTCAACAATCTTGTTCTGCACATCAGAACTTTATTCTTTGGTTTTACTCCTTGTGATGGATGATTAAGGGAATTTGGCCTTTGTGTTCCTCATATTTATAATCCTGTGGAACAGGAAGTCATGGACGAACAATTTCATGCTCCTAGTCACCCTGGTGTGCTAAAAAAAATGTAAATATGTATACTTCAGAATTATTTTACTCATTAGAATTTCTAGGGGTGCCAATAATTGTGGCCAACATGCATTGGGGTAAAACATTTATTTCATAATGAGATTTTCCCCGCACTTTCAATCATTTTACTTCAATGAAAGGTTAGAATTTTGTGAATTTTTTTTAAACAAAGATCAAAAAGATAAACAATGCAGATTTATTTTCATAGCCACCTTTGCTCATATTTACCAGGGATGCCAATATTAGTGGAGGGCACTGTTGGCTGCATCTGTCATCATGTTTATTTAAACTTTTACAAACTGTTTATTACTGCTCAAAGGGAGCATAAATGTTTTTAAACAACAATTGCATTATGTTATGAGATTAATGTAATTTTAAATAGCCTATATAAAGTATATAAATTATAAAATAAAAATTCAGGGTGTAATGCTGCCATACAAAGGTAAAACAAGCTGAGAACCATTTATCAGTCACTCCTCAATCACTCTCCCACACAAACTCTTCCTCATGCTTCCCAAGTAAATGACTATTACAGAAATCAGTAAGATTTTCCTTTCAAAAGTAGAGAAAAAAATGTCAAATGAGAGCACTGTTAGATTCCATGAGGGCACAAAGGGACGGTGTGAGCACACATATGCAACCAATCTCTGCTTTTACTCACTCAGTCATATCCAATCCTTCTTGTGTGACCCCGTATATATTTCACAGGAGAAATGACTTTCCATGGTGTAATGTTTTGCAGTCCATTTTTCTTTGAATATTTTACAGCTTGTGGGGAGCATGCATTTTTTCCATCAATAATAGTTTTCTTGATATTATGAATAAGAATTTGTCAATTAAAAAAATGATGCAAGGTTCTAAACCTTACGCTCGGCAAAAATTTAATACTGACTAAAAAATTAATCCGCAACTAATAAATAGTAACCAATAACATCAAACATTTGACAGTACTACAAACTTCCTGCTTAGAAACATGGACATGTCCATCCTGTCTAATCCCCCTCCCCCCCAAAAAAAGCATACATTTACCTTCAATAAGAATAGTACTATACAGGATATATATATAAAAAAAAATGGAAGTATTCGATACATTTATCCTGAAGCATAATGCATAAATTGACAAATAAAAAAATTCCCCAAAAAAGAACCAAAGTTGAAAAAAAGCTAGAATTAGTATGCACACTTCCAGAAACGGACAAGTTATGATACATGTGCCTACCATTCGCCTAGTGCTTCCAGACATCTCATGCGACCCAGGATAAGCTCCGGATCATCTTTGTTCATGTCGATTTTTTTATCATAGGCGACCAAAGCATCTTCCCACTCATGAAGTTTCTCATACCAGGTGGCTTGGATCTCCTGTAGTGGAAGACAAACATAAAAGGATGATGGAAATAATTAAAACGATATCACTGACATCAATGAAAAATCAGGGACAATTTTTTTTTTTTTTTATGGGGTAGGGAGTTGAAAGTGTTTGCTTCATTCGTAAATTAAGCAAACCACAAACTCATCTTTTGGCACTCAACATTTGGGATTTTCAATCTCACACAAATTGCATTCACATCTGGAATGCAGACAGCTGAGTACGGATAGCTCCAATTGTTGTTCTAACATTTAATGGGAGGGCACAGAAACAATTTATTTTAAAATTGGCAGCGAGCCCACTGTGAGCATCTGCCGGAGTAATGGATGGTTCAGCAACAGTTGAAATAACACTTCACCAGGTCATATTTCATAATTGAAAGAAACTGAATTTTCTAAGCAGGCTCTTTTGATGAATGACAGCATAAAATCCTCATTTTTCATATAGTATACAGAATATGTATGTCATTTGGGCCCAATAAGTCTCGAAAGGCTACAACAACAACAAAAAACAAAGTAAATCTCCACTCATAATCCTGGATTCTGCAACAAGGGCCAGAAAATTGGCAAAAAACAGTGAATATACATAGAAAGTTCCAGCTTAAACAAATAAATGTGTATTTGTTTTAACATTCTATACAAAAACTTAAACTATGATCAAAACATTGGAATCACTACAACAGTTTTCTTACTACTCTTTATATACTCTTTCTTACTCACTTTCTATTAGGGATGTTCATTTTAACCATTTAACCGGTTAACCGACGGTAAGAATTTTGACCGATTAATACAATCAGTTAAACGTTTTAAAAATGCATTTAATTATAAATTTTTTCAGTAATTTATCAAAATATTTAAAATGGTTTGCTGCATGGTTAAAATACACTACGCGTATAAAAATTTTGTTTTTTAGGGGGAAAAAAAACAAGTCGCGTATAAGTCGCATTTTATTATTTCATTCAGAAACAATGTTTTACATCACGGTGGTACAGTGATAACACTTAACCTTAATGGCTTAAGTCGAACATCCCTACTTTCTATACTATTCTGATTCCATATACAGTGCTACTCAACTGAAAAAAAAGATGCTGAATTTGTACTTTAATAAGGACACATTAGATTTCTTAAGAACTAGTAGGTTTTCTACATAAACCGTTTTTTTTTGTAAACTAGAGTATTGTCTGTGGAAAAATAATATTACTATTTTGACTATTATGACTTTTTAAAAACTACTACATTGGTGAGCAGAGGTTTTGCAAAATATGAGGCCCAAATGTTTTACATTTATGAACTGATTGTTAAGTCTGTATTTGCAAATTGTCACACGTGTGAATTGATTTAGATTTGTATTTGTATGTGTGTGTACAGGTTTGATACCTGTGAGGTCCAAAATGTCCTCACTAATAGCCAGACCTTACTAGTTTAAAATCAGTCAAATCATGTTTGTCTTTAAATCTTGTTATTTGAAATCTAGTGTTTAGGGGTAGGGGTTGGGTAAAGCGATAGAAAATATAATTCCCGTCCCGTGTTGAGGGGCCCCACGATAACCTCCCCGTGCTGGGTTGCGTCGTATCATGTGTCGACTATAGCCAGAGATATTGTCAAAAGCATCAAATATTGGAAATATTAAGAGGATTTGCCATTTCCAATTAATGTAGGCCTGTTACATTCTTCTTATTATTAGGCCTGTTATTATTATTAGGTTACTTTTATTATTAAATTACAATTAATTTGCCTCGCAATAATTTCATAGAGCATCACCGCATAACTGACGCACTATGAGGATAATAAAAGATTAGGCTATTAGCTTTTTAAGCTATTTTAAAACAGGTCTATTAATTTATACAATGAATTATAGGTCTGTAATTAAAATTATTAACACTGCAGTCATCAATGAAAATTAAGAGCAGCTTTATTTCAAGCACCGACTTTCAAAAATACCCTGTTTAACGCAAAATACATTTTTTTTTTCACTATGCATGGGCCACAAGAGAAATATTAAGGAATAATTCAAGACAGTTATATGCCGTTATCAGCATATGTTGACGTAGATTCGTCTCTTGTAGTCTCTGAGAGAATATTCGCCGTTAATGCAGCGTCAGATGCCGAAAGCGGCGTCAGTTTGTACTTTTTTTACTTTCACTTTGTATAATTGACTGAGGTTAAAACGTTCAACGGCATAACTCTTGCGCAAAGTTTGCACGTTGCTTATTATCAGCCTTCATGGTTTAAAACAGAAATATTTCCAATATTCACAAACCCCATACCCACCCCTAGCACATTCACTCTGTCTACGAAACCACGCTGTTGTAGCACATGGAGAATGAAACCTGGCATTGTCTTGATTTAAAGGGGTCATATGATGCGATTTCAAGTTTTCCTTTCTCTTTGGAGTGTTACAAGCTGATTGTGCATAGATAAGATCCCTGAAGTTGCAAAGACTAAAGTCTCAAAACCAAAGAGATATACTCTGCCACGGCCCCCTAAAACGGCTCGTTCTAACACACCCCACATATCTACCATAGCACGTCAGTTGTCTTAACCGCGGCTTGTGTACTGCATCATCTCTGTGTCTGTCACGCGACTCTGTTGCCTTTTCGGGCTTGAACTGATGGTAAAACTAATGACATTATTTACTGTCTTTACATTTATTTTGAAAGATGAAGCTCGCGATTATGGTAAGGGGCGTTACATTTCCGACACGTGCTTGTGGTGTTCGGCCAATCACAATGCACTGGGTCAGCTGGCCAATCAGAGCAGACTGCGCTTGTCAAAGGAGGGGGCTTTGTTGAAAATGAAGCGTTTGAGAGAGGCAGGGCATAGAGGACCTACAATAATGTACAGTATTTGAAAAATAATGTGTTTTTTGAACATTAAAGCATGTCAACATATTCTGTTAAAATACACAAATTAATGATCTTTAAAAAAGCATCATATGACCCCTTTAATAACCATGGACTTCCCATGAAAAACATCATCTTGATGACATTTTATGCCTCTGTACAATTTCAATATATGCCTCCATGTCAATGGTACCTTCGCACGTATGCCAGTCACCCATACCGTTTGCTCTGCTGCCTCTTCATACTATGACAGATGTTTGCTTTCGCATCTGTCGCTGATGAAAGTCTGGATGCTCCCTTTCATATTTGAGATTGAGAAGTCGACATCGATTTTTTTCAGAAACCAGGTGAAATGTGGACTCATCTGACCACAGCACACATTTCTTTTTGACTATCTGAGATGAGCTCTGGCCCAGAGAACCCTGCGGCATCACTGCATAGAATTGATGTATAGCTTTCTCCCGGAGTAACAGAGATTCAAGTTGCATTTATTGATACAACAGCAGACTGTGTTAAGTGACAGCAGTTTCCCGAAGTACTCCTGAGCCCATGTGGCTATATTTAACACTGCAGCATGACGGTTTCTTATGCAATGCCATTTGAGGGCACAAAGGTCATGCACATTCAACTGAGGTTTCTTGCCTCACCCTACATAGACTGAGGTTTCTCTGGATTCTCTGAATCTTTTCACAATATTATGTATGTATGGTAGTTGGTAAAATAAATAAATTCTTTGCATTGAGAAATGTGATTTTTGATTTGTTTGACACTTCTCTCATGAAATTTGTCACAGAGTGATGAGCCATGATCCAGCTTTGCTGGCAAAGACTGAGATGCTCCTTTTATACCCAAATATGATACCCTCACCTATTACCAATTCACCTGCTTACTGTGAACGATTTCAAAACTTTTTTTGGAGTATGTTGTAGCCATCAAAATCTTTTCTTTGTTCTTTTGTCAATTAAATAAAAGTTAAATTGAATTTACAGATAACAGATTCTTGGCTTTATTGCATTTTACAAAAGTCCCAACTTTTCTGGAATTGGGGTTGTAAATGCTTACAAAACACTTGTTTAACTATTAGAATATTAACTTCAGATGAAACAAGACAAACAGATACTATTTTTATGACAATCAAGCAATTAGCCCCTCAATTCTCATCACAATAATTAAAAAACAAACAAAAAAAATCTAAAATATTTTTTAAGGTGATATGACCAAGACCTTTCTTAACAGGCTTAGTGAGATTCACATCATCTTATGAAGTAAATGCATGATGGATGGCACACAGATTAATAAGGGATGGAAGGCCTTACCAATTCTCCAAAGTGTTTCATGGCATACTCCAGAACTCCTGATGCTGCCTCTGGCTGCTGGAGCTTATTATTGATGCTAAAAAGAAAGAATACAATGTTTTAGTGCACACTCTAAATCTTTAATATTGCAAATATGATTATGGAAATTGAGATTAGCTACAACAACAATTCTACACAAGTTTATAACACTAAAAATTGGTAGTATCTCCAAGCACATGAGCAATTAGCCAGTAAATTCGCACAATAAATGGCCTGACAAATATTTTACTGTTATATTTATGATCCTTCTAATGACCAATTAAAAAACTTCCCATCTGGAAGCACTTGTGCAATGTCAGTATGAAGTTTTCTATGACTGCCAGACTTGCCAATACATCTGCTTTTACAGGGGGGTACGGGAAAGGAAATTAAGCCATCATTTAAAAAAAAAATCATACAAAACCAATTAATAAAACAATAACATTTGTAACTTGTACCAAAAAAATGTATGTTACCAACACCACTAAAAAGAAACAGCATTTATGACACAATGACTCCCTGAATACTTGACAGAATAATCAAACAAGTATTTTTCGGGGGTATGTATCTGTACTGCCCTCGGTATATGTGCTGTATATAACTTGACAGCCAGATAAACTCTTCCCTAACATCAAGACTCTGAAGACATAGGCTCCTTGTCCACAGGTTTATTGACGTTGTGAGGAAAAGTGAAACTGAAACATACAAAACGCATAATCAACAGATATAATCAAATGAAATGAATTAAATCTCCTTTTTTTCCTTTTACTGTCACAAGTTTATGTATTTAACAAATATCTTTAAATGTAATGTATGTATATTTAACATGTATTTAATTTTCTAATCACTGTTCCAGAAACCAAATTTGCCTTGATCTTCTGGCAAATAAGAGGTCTTTGTACCATCAAAAGTTCCTGCAAGTTTCATAGCTTAAGACATCCTCCCCATTATAAACGACACTGATAATCTGATAGTTGTCCACTGGCTGTGTGTGACACTGCTTTTATTGTTATCTGCCAGCTTGCATTGCGTTATCTCGCCTTAAAAGCGTGGTTTCACTTGTCACGCCCATAGGTGTTCAATCGACGTGCAGCGAGTGGGTCTGAAGAAGTAGCTGTTTACAATAAGATTGCGATGCCACGCAGATGTGCCGTTCCTGGCTGTGGAAAAACAACATGTTTGAATACGCTGCCGAAGGATCCAGACATCAGGGAAAAATGGATTCAGTTTATTTTTCACAAACGTCCCAGTAACGTCAGTGTTAATTTACGTGTGTGTTCACTACATTTCATGGATGACTGTTTTGAGAACAAATCGCTACTGCAATGCTTGCCAGAACACTTTTGCTCAAAGATCAGGCCGTGCCGACTATTCTGGACCCAACAACGACACCGCAAACTGTAAGTAATGTAGTTCATGTAAAAACTACTTTTTAAAATATTATTAGCGGTTTAATTCATAATGAATAATAACAGTGTTTTTACTTACTTACTTTTCAGAGTCCATCATGTTCAGGCCCCGTGTTAAAAAACGTTAGCCAATCATAACAGTGGGCGGTTACACTGAACTCTTAAAGGGGAAACCCCCCCAAAACCGACTGTTTGAGTCAGAGGATGAGAAACAGGGTGGAAAAAGGTCATAAATCACAAATTTTTTTTAGTTTTTCGTCCAAAAAACTATAGTAACATTATAATTACACCTTAGGGTGTAACAGATCAGCCAGGCTCCGCCACCACCCAATCACAACGATCCCTCTCACCTGAGTTCTGAGCACCTGCACCTGTCACCAATCAAGCACCTCATTACCAGCCTGCATAAAAGCACACACCTCAGACACCCTCACTGTCCGGTCTCGTTTACACGTAGAGGACTCAATGACTTTGCTACTGAATTCCTTTGAATACTTCTTGCATTACTTACCTCCTGTGTTCCTCCTAGCGTCTCCTCGTCTCCAAGTGTCTCCTGTATCTCCTAGTTCGTCAGACCTCTTCCGTAACATAGGGAACATAATAAAACAAACCAAAAAACCCATGTCATGATCCCTTTAACTTTATTGAACTTTTGGTCCTATGTAATCATCATTAGCAAAAACATGTTATAGCACCACATTGTGGCCGATTCTCACCAAATCTGATACACAGCTTAATCAAGCATACCTTCTAAGTGTCTGCCATTTTTCACAATAGTGGGCCAGTCAGATTTGATTTTATAAGATGCTGAAATTTGATTGGCTGTTGGCAGCAATGTTTGTTTGGTTATGAGAGTAAAATTTGAAAAATATGTTACTATTTGCCCCAAAGAAGGGGCATACCCATTTTCAACTTGATTTATCACATGGCTGTGGAGTTTTTTTGTAATTTTTTGCGTTCGAATATAGGTCCATTCGTTAAAACGTGTGATGGCAGACAATTTAATTTGCTAATATCTTTGCAATGCTTCTACATATCAGCATTTTTTGACAACATTTTGCCAGCATAATCTATAGCTGCTTTGTACACAGATTGGTGAAGATTGGCAAACAGCCTAAGTGGTGTTCGAAGAAGTAGGTTTTCAGAAAATCGAAAATAGTGCAAGCAATTTCATGCCACAAATAGAAATCGAAGATATACGTTTTGCAGATTAGTTGAGGGGAAAAATACGTTTGCTACTAGCCCTTACAATTTCAAAGTGATGAACCAAAATGCAAAAGTGCTAATTATAGCACCACCTAGTGCCTGGCGGATATGTGTCTGGGATTTCTGATCATCCCACCAAGTTTGGTATTGCTTTTTATTTTGTGCCAGATGAAATGTACAGATTTGTTGGCACAATGGTGAGAGTAACCTCAGTAACTAATAGAGCTGCACAATTCTGGATTAACTGATAATCTTTTTTTTAAATTTTATTTTCTTTTGCTTAGAATAGAGATCATGATTCTCTCACAACTGATAAATTGTCATTATTTGCATATTACATAATTTGATTTGACAGCCCTAGTTTGAAATATTGTGAGTTTACAATTAAACATTGGTGCTACTTTCGAGAAACTGAGTACTTGTGCTCATCTCTATTTATGACTGTATTTGTTACAAGGAGGCCCCTTTCCACCATGAAATCTAAGGCGTCAGTAACATATGCAATGACCGAGAGAGAACACTGAATGGAACATTTGCACTTCTGCCCATAAGCCATTACAGTTGCTGTCTCTTTCCTGCTTTTTAAAAGCCCTTGGGGGCAACATACTTGCTAGGTGAGGTCAAAATAAATGTTCTGACACTTGGCGAGGAAAGTTGGAAAGTGCAAAAAACAAGCTAGAAAGTAAGTATTGGTGTTGCTTCCTATGATAAATAATTTGGCTTAACCAGTTTAAACATGTAACTGTTTGATTAGATGGATAAATACACAGGCAAGACACACATTAAAGCTGCTCAAGTCTACATAAATCCCACAGTACATTAGAACCTATAGGCTTGAACAAAGTTATGTCAAACAGAAGAGAAAAAAAAGCAATTCACATTTTGCAATTCAAGACTAGGAAAGACTGCATGAATGCATCTAGTAATGGTTTGGAAAGCTGGTGGTATTTTGTATTTGCAACATCAAATTGCAATTGCAGTTCTGCATCTACTGTGACTTCTAACTCATTCTATTCTTCTGTATCAAGGTTCTTCAGAATAATTTAAATTTCACTTCTACAGACTCTACAAGAGTCTGTATGCTACATATAAGTGCTGGGTGCATTATTCTAGTGGTTCTACTCCTATTGGCATTCAACCAAGTAAATATCTGATTCTATTCCATTTCATGACATCACATTTCACCTGTTATAAAACAGAAAAACTGGATACAAACTGGAAAGTGTACAAGTTTAAAAAATTTTTTTTTGAAGATTATTTGTTTGTTTTTAAGTTTCCATAAGTTTGATGTGGGCTTGATAAAGTGTGCTCTAACTCTATTACTGTTCCTTCTGCTTTTAAATCTGAGTTGAGTAGTCATTGTAATATCTGAGTCATGGCTTGATAGAACAATCACAAGCTATGACCTACAGTGGGGTTTAGCAATTTATATCAAGAAAAGATTTGATGTTACTTGTTGTGGCTATCTGATGTAAAAAATCCTACTGACCTTAGTGTGCATCGGCCACTCCCCTCTGCTATTCCACTGCTAAAATGACATACTATCACAACAAAATTAACAATTCGTCTAACTCTCACATGCTCTTTAAAACATTTTCATCCCACCTTTACCCCCCCCACCCCCATCAACTCAGACAGCTGATGACTTAGCCACATTCTTCATTAATAAAATTACAACCATCAGTGCACAATTCTCCACACCATAAACTGCCAAACACATCTTACCAGCAAAAATACACTCGCTTCTCTCCACTCTCAGAGGCAGAAATCTCCAAACTCATCCTTTCCAATCATGCTACTACTTGTTCACTTGATCCTATTCCATTTCATCTTCTTCAAGCCATTTCTCCTTCAGTTGTACATGCACTCACATCACTAACACATCTCTTCACACTATTGTCTTTCCCTCAGCATTTAAACAGGCTCGGATAAAACCACTACTTAAGAAACCCTCTTCTAACCCAGCACTTTTAGAAAACTACAGAACGGTTTCCCTTCTTCCATTCATTGTAAAAACACCATAACCCTGCCTTTCTCATACAGAACAATGTACTGGACAGCAACCAGTATGGCTTCAGAAGTGGACATTCAAACAAGACTGCCTTACTCTCGGTTGTTGAAGCCCTAAGACTGGCAAAAGTGGCTTCCAAATCTTCAGTACTTATCTTGCTGGATCTGTCCACTGCTTTTGACACGGTTCGAGTCTTACCTCTCAGACAGTTCTTTCAAGGTATCTAGAAGGGGTGAGGTGTCCAAGTTGCAACATTTAGCTACTGGGATTCCTCAGGGCTCAGTTCTTAGACCACATCTCTTCTCTATCTACATTTACATTACATTACATTTACTTTTAGTCATTTAGCAGATGCTTTTATCCAAAGCGACTTACAAATGAGGACAATGGAAGCGATCAAAATCAACAAGAGAGCAATGATATGCAAGTGCT